TGCCCTACGCAACGCTCATCATCAAGCAATAGGTTGTTCACCCTATCATGCTCTGTATGGGTTTGATATGACAACACACGGTACACAGTTTGATTTACTGAGAAAATTGAATCTTCTAGGGGAATCAGAGAATGTGTTAGGTAGAGACGATCAATTAAAGCTACTACGGAAGTCAATCAAACAAAACATATCGGAAGCGTATTAAAAGAATGCGCAGCAGTATAACTTGAGAGCAAGAATCGTAAATTTTCGGGTAGGGCAGGAAGTATTTCGAAGAAATTTCAGCCAAAGCAATTTTCCACGAAATATTAATGCAAAACTAAATCGGCAATGGCTAAAATCTAGAGTGAGAGAAAAAGTTGGCAGCAGTCACTATATTTTAGAAGACCTACAGGGAAACCTACAAGGAACTTACCATGCGAAAGACATCCGGCAGTAACTGTCCTTTTTCAGGCTAATCCCATAGATCAAGGCTCTAGAATTCGCCTGATGGTGTAGTGAACAGTTTTGCAGGGATGTAGATGTAAAATGTAGTTATGAATTTACATAGGAATGTTGGGAGTTGTGGGAAATGTCGTTAAGAGTAGAGCTTGCAAGTACGCAAAGCAACGTAAGACTAGAAGAGAAAGAGGAATGTCAAAAAAATTTACGTCTCTCTCTCTCCCGCTCTGAGATCGCTGCAGAAGGCTGACCCTCATTCTTTTCTGTTCAAACCACTTAAAGGTGCAAACGTACAATCGTGCAGCCTCCAGGAATTGTTTCCGCAACGTTTTGTTCAAACAAAGTATAATCCGAATAATTTTGAACCATCAGTAGTCATTTTTTCGATTAAACGGCAAAAGAACCCAAGTGAATTAAATTAAAATCAGTGCCCATACATATTTTGATGGTGAGTGTCCATATAGTGCAAAAACTAGGCAGCTTAAACCCATGTGCAAATTTTCCTAACATAGGCAATCGCTTTCTCGAGGTTGTATTAGGCCCAGAGAAAAGCGAACCATAATCTCCGACTCGAGTGTCTCCCGATCTTGGCGTGCAAAGGAATAGCAGAGAGGAAACAAATACACCGGCAAAACGACAGGTCAATAAACCGAGGCGACAGCGGCCAAACAGATTTTCGTAGCATTGGCAATAACGCTGGGCAACAGGTCTCACTCCGAGCTTTCCTGCACCAAGCCAAAGATCGAGGCAAACATACTACTGGAAGGACGGAGGATTTGCAAAACCATACTAACAGCCGGCAGAGGATTTGCGGCAGAAGTCTAAGGCGAAAACGGCGAGGTCTCCAATATCCACAGAAGTTGAAAAAGCCCCACCTACGCGATTGGAATATTGGGCAAACGTAGAGAGTTCTGTAGTTTTCGTAGATGAGAAAAAAAAAGGGTATTCCAAAGTCGGTTGGACAAGGGCAGCAGATTTAGTTGACTTTTGTTTTCTCTTTTGGTTGGTCTGTTTAAACAGACCGAATTAACGTAACGTAAAAACATAAAAACAGAAGGCAGCGAGAGAAGGAAAAAAAAATGAAATGGAAAAGGTTTCAAACGCGCAAGTTGGTTAAACATTTCTGAAATTGATTGGTGCCTCTTATAAATAACCCATTTTTTTTTTGAATTAGTGCAAAAACGGAAGAAATACCAAACCTCCTCCTCGCAACGACGAAGGCCTTCGGCGGACATGAACTGGGAGTGAATAATATGCAATTCAGCATTGAATGTAAGTTACATATGCCCTATATTTACCATGTTTATTTATATGTAGTGCCACCAAAAGATTAGAAAGAAAAGTAAAGCGTGAAACAGAGAAAAGAAACGAAAACATGAAAGACATCGAGATTAAGCATATTCTATCATAATGCTTATCAGTCATGCGACTATCATTTAAGCAATTCCCTTTTGTTCGGAGCAGCAGCCGATAATAGTTCTTCTTAATATCATATAGTCATACATCATCTCTTATACTGCTTATACTTGTCGCTCTCTCAGTACGCTCCCGTACACACGCACATATGCTAGTACTGCTTATAGTGCATTGCTTCGCCCTGTTCTCGGTTCAGTCCAAAGATTCGTCGAACGCATCGCATCGAGTCGTAGTTCACGGCCACGGCCTCAAACCATTTGTAACCCGTCGTGAAAATAAAACCCATTTGTAAACTTAACCAACGGAGTAAATTATTGTAAATGTGGAGTCAGAGTTGCCGAAAACTCGGCAGCTCCAACCCTTCCAACACTTTTGGTGACCCCGACGTGATTGCCGTGGACTTACAGTGCGTTGAAAGTGTTTAAACCATTCAATCAATCCAAATTTGAAGGTTTAACGTGACATTTGTGAAAAAGTAGCGAACCAAAAGTCGTTGTGACCGACCTTAGCAGTTCTAGCGGCCCGCTATTCGTTTTCGTATTCTCTTTCACCGTCTGCTTCAGCCTGCGCAACGCACTGTCGAGACTGGCTGCATAGAGTTCTAAGCGTGGTCCGTTAGTTTTCTTCGCCTCCTCTTTGGTCGTTTGCTTCAGCCAGCTCTTGTGAGAGGCTGCAGTAATAACTCTCTGAAATTCGAACTCGAAAGCAGAGTACATCTCTCTTTGCATAATTGTTGGTTTTCCGTCGTCGCTTCGTTGCTTTTACCGGTGCATACCTATCGCATATATAAGTGCCAAAAAAGTGAACGCAAAGGTGTTTGAACTCGTTTTGAACTCGTTTGAACTCGCGCGTTGCGTAATAATATTTAATTGTGATCGACTAGCACCCTCCGCGTCAACCGTTTTCTATAACCAAAACCATGGGCAAGAAAAAGAATAGCAGAAAGAGTGGATCGTTTGCTATGGACAATGAAAGTGATTCTGTGACATTTGGCGCTGCGCCATCGGGCGAAAGTTTTAGTGCGAATGCAGCCAGCACCCAAGTCCCTGTTCCGGTATCTCGTATTTCCTTCATGAGACTGAAGGCTAGAGCTATTTTCGATCGGCTAGAGTCCATACGCACAGAGATGGATAGTGAAAAGTTGCGTCAAATGGATGAATACGACTTGCGAGGGCTGTTGGAATCATTGACGGAGCTTAAGTCAAATTTTGTTGTGGCACACACCAGTTTGGAGGATTTGGATTTCGAGTCAATGTCCAGTGAAATTCCTGCCAAATTCGACTCGTCGATATTGTCGTTGAGGACCATTCTTCAGCGCGAGCTTGGAAGTCGCTCGAGCAATAAGCATTGTTCCACATTCAACGCCAACTCTAGTGAATCGCAGTCAATCGTCATAATGTCTAATCGATCTCGGTTACCTCATCTGGAGCTGCCCAAATTCAGTGGAATTTATACGGAGTGGGCCAATTTCTTCTCAATGTTCACAGCGATTATTGACAAGGAGTCTGAGCTGAGCCCTATCGAAAAGCTGCAGCATCTACGTTCCTGCTTGAGTGGCGCAGCCCTGAATACCATCAGCTCGTTGGAAATAAATGAAGCTAATTATATCATAGCATTAGACATTCTGAAGCGACGCTTTGATAATAAACGTTTTATTTTGCAGGCACACATCAGAGGGATATTTGGGTTGGAGAAGGCTGACGCATCGGTGGGCAGATTGAGGGAATTGACCGACAGAGTTACATCGCATATTCGTGCTATGGAGTCGCTTGCAAGCAAGGAAGAAGTGGCGGATTGCATTATCGTGCAGACTGTTCTTCAGAAGCTGGACAAAGCCTCTCAAAATAGATGGGAGGAGTCTTCGTCGAATCAAGAGCTGCCATCTTGGGAGAAACTGTCTGGATTCTTGGAAAAAAGATGTCGCACGCTTGAAAATGTGGATCAAGGACAAGGACAAGGACAAGATGGTCAGGTTGGCAAGTCCGGAAAAACCGTGAGTACGCATCAAAGAAAGACATTTGTAGCATCGAACGCTCCAGTTTCTTGTGAACTGTGCGAGAGTACTCATCACATGATTGCCAATTGTCAACGGTTTGCAATTCTATCGCCGAATGATCGTCGCCTGGAAGCCAAGAGGCTCTTGCTATGCCTAAATTGCCTACGAAAAGGCCATCAATTGAGAGATTGTAGATCAGGTCCCTGCCGCACTTGCCGATCGAAGCACCACACGCTTTTGCATTTCATTCGTCCAACAGAGGCTGCCCAATCTGTTCCTCCAATTGAAGCCTCACCAGCACAACCAAGTCGTAACGCCATGGTTGCAGTATCGCCCTCCTTGCCTCAAGCCTTTATGTCCCACAGTCCATCTGATGCTGTGCTTTTAGCCACTGCCGTCGTTCTTGTAAAAAACAGCGTTGGAACTTTCGTACCCTGTCGCGCATTTTTGGATTCGGGATCGCAATTGCATTTCATAACTAGTCGTCTAGCTAATCAGCTAAAACTTCGAACAACCAAATCGCTTACCGCTGTCTCTGGCATAGGAGATGCTAGCTTCCCAACAGAAGGTATCTCGGTGGATCTCGTTCTGAAATCGCGGATTTCAGAGTTCACCACTAGCATCACTGCCGTCGTTGCCCAGAAGATCACGGACCATCAACCTAGCATCACAGTTAGCACTGCTAGTTGGCCTATACCGTCGAATATCCAGCTTGCTGACCCTTCGTTCCATAAGCCACAGCGGATTGACCTGCTCATCGGAGCCGGACTTTTCTTCGAGTTGCTGTGTGTGGGGCAAATTCAGCTGGCGCCTGGACTACCGTTGCTGCAGAAGACACATCTAGGATGGATTCTTTCTGGTGGCGGGCAATCGGCCCTCAATAACTCGTCGTTCATCGCAACCCAATCTTCGGATGACATCAATCACAGCACTCGGCTCGATGAGTTGGTTCGTCAATTTTGGGAAGTGGAGCACATCTTTGAGCCAATCGTTAGGGCAACAAAGGAGGAGCTGCACTGCGAGGACCACTTTGTCAAACATCACACTCGATTACCCTCAGGAGAATATTCTGTTAGCTTGCCCATGAAGCGAAGTCTGGAGTCCTTGGGCGATTCCTACTTGCAAGCAAAGCGGCGGTTGGAAAATTTGGAGCGCAAATTCGTGCGTAATCCAGTTTTATATTCGAAATATTCGGCATTTATGAAGGAGTACCTGTCCCTTGATCATATGTCTCTGGTTCCAAATGAAGATAGACACAAGTGCAGATATTTCTTGCCGCATCATTGCGTCATTAAAGAGGATAGCTCCACGACAAAGCTGAGAGTCGTATTCGACGGCTCTGCAGTTACCACATCTGGTCTCTCGTTGAATGATCTGCTTATGTCAGGTCCCACCATTCAATCCAAGCTGTTTCACACTCTCCTTCGATTTCGTACATTTTCCATTGCTCTTACAGGCGATATCGGTAAGATGTATAGGTGCGTGCGTGTCTCAATGCCCGACACCATGCTCCAATGCATCTTGTGGAGGGACTCTGTTGACGACGATATAAAGATCTTCAAGCTAAACACCGTCACCTATGGGACTAAGCCTGCATCGTTTTTAGCTATTCGAGCTATGCATCAGCTGGCCATGGATGAGTCGTCTTCGTATCCATTGGGTTCGGAAACCATTCTACAGGACTTCTACGTAGACGATATGATTTCTGGAGGAAATTCAGTCGAGGAAGTGCTGGATATTATGCGTCAAACCACGGAGCTTCTTGCTTGTGGCAATTTTCAGTTAAGGAAATGGTGTTCAAACTCTCCTGATGTTCTTCGTGAAGTCCCTGAGGCAGAAAGGGAAAGTTTTCTGAAGCTCGATGATGGCAGCGATGTGACCAAGGCGCTTGGACTCATCTGGGAACCCCAGAGGGACAAGTTCCTGTTTACTTTTGCACCTCAAATCGGTGTTGGCAAGCACACTAAGCGTTCGGTGTTGTCAACCATTGCACGGTGCTATGATCCTATGGGATTGATTGGACCCACATTGACCAGAGCGAAAATCATCATGCAGCGCATGTGGAGAGACAAGCTGCATTGGGATGAAAGTCTTCCTCAGCCACTGGAATCGGCTTGGACTGAGTTTTGCAAGGACTTCGCTACTGTGGGTAACGCTACATTTCCGCGTTATATACTTCAACCTAAGGCAAGGTTTGAGTTGCATGCCTTTTGTGATGCCAGCCTCCAGGCCTATGGGGCTTGTATCTACGCTCGTTCGTTTAGGGATACCGCCGATGAGGTACATTTGCTTTGCTCGAAGGCTAGAGTTGCACCATTGAAAACCCTCACGGTGCCTAAGCTTGAGCTATGTGCAGCGTTCCTGTTAGCCAATTTACTTCGCGAAATTAGGAAAATCGATACCTTCGACTGCCCGATCCATTGCTGGTCGGATTCAACTGTGGTACTGTCTTGGTTGCGAGAGGAACCATCCAAATTCAACGTGTTTGTGTCTAACAAGATTTCCGCAATACAGCAACTTACGAGGGGCATGGATTGGCGCTATGTACCAACTGAAATGAACCCGGCTGACATTCTTTCAAAGGGAGCAGCGCCTCAGGAGCTCTTGCAGTCTAGGTTGTGGATGAATGGACCTTCTTTCTTGCAAGGCGAAAGAAGTAACTGGCCTGAACGTTGTTCGCCCGAACTCAGTCTTCCGGAAATTAGGCATCGAGTATTGCTGTCGTCTGAGCGTGTCGACATCTCGCTTTCGTTTAAGCACATTAACTCATTCGGAGTCATGATGCGCATTTTCGGATATGTTCATAAGTTCGTCAGCAAGAAAAGGTCACTTGATCTCTCGTCTGAAGACCTTCGCAAAGGATCGCACTTGTTGTGTCGCATCGTTCAACGCGCCCACCTTCATCCCGAGTACCGTGCTCTGCGGAAGGGGAACTGTGTGGAGTCCTCCAGCAGCATTATATCTCTCTCGCCTTTCATAGATGACGTTGGTTTGATTCGTGTTGGTGGTCGCTTGCGGCACTCAACTCTTGGCTTCGATGCACGCCACCCAATAATTTTGCCCAGGGATCATCCATTGACGTTCGCCATCATCATGCACTTTCATCGGAAGCATCACCATGCTGGGCCGCAGTCTCTACTGGGATCTATTCGCTTGCAGTTCTGGCCCATCGGCGGCATGAAAACTGTTGCTCGAGCGTTGCGGAAATGCATCATCTGCTGCAGGTCCAGACCTCGTCTTGTGGAACACATAATGGCTGACCTACCGAAGGATCGAGTGCAGGATTCGCCTGCATTCAGCGTCACTGGAATCGATTACTGTGGTCCCTTCTATTACAAGCCAGATGGCCGCACTCGAACGCCTACAAAATGCTACATCAGCGTCTTCATCTGTTTTGCAACAAAGGCCGTTTGGTTGGAATTAGTGAAGGACCTCACAACTGCTGGATTTTTGAGTGCCCTCAAACGCTTCGTTGCCACGCGCGGCATACCCCGATGCATTTGGTCGGACAATGCCACCAATTTTGTGGGCGCAAGGAACGAGTTGGAGGACCTTCGGCGGCTGTTTATGAGCGAGAAGCATCGTGATGCAGTTCATAATCATTGCATCAACAATGGCTTCAATTGGAAGTTTATCCCGCCTCGCTCACCCCACTTCGGGGGCTTGTGGGAGGCAGCAGTGAAGATGGCCAAGCAGCATTTATATCGCTCCCTGGGATCGTCACTCTTTGGTTTTGACGAGCTGCGGACATTGGTCTGCCAAATCCAGGCTGTAATAAATTCTCGTCCTCTTCTCGCAATTTCAGAAAACCCTGAAGATCTTGGCGTCCTTACACCAGGACATTTTCTAATTGGTCGTCCGCTGATGGAGTTTCCCGAGCCAGATGTTACAAATCTGAACTTTAACAGACTAGATTGCTGGCAAAGAGTCGCCTGTGCTCAGCAGATCTTTTGGAAGCGTTGGAGTGAGGAGTATTTGACTCTGCTACAACAACGTGCCAAATGGCGCACACCGCAGCCATCGATCCAAGTCAACGACATCGTCTGTATAAAGGACGAAAACTTGCCGCCGTTGAAGTGGCCATTAGCACGGGTGATCGACATCATCGCTGGAGCTGATGGCACTGTGCGAGTTGCCGTCCTGAGAACACCGTCTGGAACCACTCGTCGAGCTGTCAACAAGCTGTGCGTCCTACCCGTTGAGGATCCTGTTAAAAGCCCTAGTCTTTCAACGGGGGGGAGTATGTTCGGAGCAGCAGCCGATAATAGTTCTTCTTAATATCATATAGTCATACATCATCTCTTATACTGCTTATACTTGTCGCTCTCTCAGTACGCTCCCGTACACACGCACATATGCTAGTACTGCTTATAGTGCATTGCTTCGCCCTGTTCTCGGTTCAGTCCAAAGATTCGTCGAACGCATCGCATCGAGTCGTAGTTCACGGCCACGGCCTCAAACCATTTGTAACCCGTCGTGAAAATAAAACCCATTTGTAAACTTAACCAACGGAGTAAATTATTGTAAATGTGGAGTCAGAGTTGCCGAAAAAGCTCGGCAGCTTCCAACACCTTTCTCTTCGCATATTCGGCGCGAGACCAATTAGTTAGTACATACCTACATACATATATGTGCAAGAGCTAAGAAATTCGTTTTGTTTTGCTTTTTGCTCTTCTATCAGTAACTGTAATGTAGTTTACAATGTCGTGCATATAAATAGCACTTAGTATTAACGTTCAATGGAAAAGCTTGTTAATAATTATGTTGAAGTAAAAAACAATTAAGAATGGAGTGAAACGTGTGATCGGTTTTCCTAGATGGGTATAAGAGGGTAATTAAAGTGTTGTAACCGCTTTGGGATCTTTCTATAATCGTTGCCAGCGGAAGATCATAGGTAGGGTGGGTATAGAGGCAAGAGCGTTACCATAACACCTAGGTAATTGCAAGCGGTATGGTCCGAGTCACTGTGTAATTCTTTCTTCGCCCCTTTTATTTATTGTCGTGCTGCTTGTAAAGTCAGATGGGCTTTACGGGACTCTTGATAATATGTGCTGTAGGTGTGTTGAGTGGAGGTGTCAAGACCCCCCCAGGCTGATACGCTAGCTGATGCCAGAGAGTCCCCCGACCACTCCACCCAGCAATCAAGCCACCTACATTCGCTCCGCTGATCGGGTGCAACTCCGATTTGTCAATTGTGTAGCCAAGTCACCAGGTATCCGGGGATAAACAAAACGCGTTGTGTCGAGTCAGAGGGACCCTTTTACATGAGAAGTGCAATTGGGGGTGATCTTTTTTTTTGAGAAAGGAAGATCACGCGAACCAGCAATACATTTGCCTAAGGTCTCTACGGAGGGAAATAGAATTCCAATCGTTCTGTATCAGGCAAACGAGAGTCTGGTCATTACATATTTTGGCGCCCAACGTGGGGCTGATTTTGTGAGAACAGATCAGTTTCATTTCTTTAACAAGGTCCTACTATCAATTCTATAACTATATTGCTTTCTTTGAAATTCTATTCTTTCTCTAATCTTCAATGTAATAGCTGAATCTTTCGCTATCCTTTGGAATTAGTGACTTTTGGTAGAAGTCCGAAATCACTACCGGGGACTACGACGTTGGTTAAGTTTAACTTGAAGAGTCTTTCTTACGGTACGAGAGCGATTGATACAAAATAACAACAGCATGGAAGGAATTTCGAATCGAGGCGTTTAGCCACGATATCGACCGCTGTGATGTTGTTGTGGAGTAAAAAAGTCTATCAAATACCAACCCGTCAATTTTTCTTAGCAGCTTAATTCAAAATAAAATTTTTGTGTAATGAAGAGTCCAATGTCCACATTGCTGATGACGAGGCCTATGGTGGAATTATTCCTTAGGAAGAATACCATTTGGAATCCTACATGACCGGCGACTGTTAGGCAAGGATAAATAGACTCCCTTTCAATTTCTTTTTATGTTCAATTGGTTTAATTGGCGCTGTGTGACTGAAGTTGTCGCTTAGTACAATACCTAACCACGGTAAATACGCTAAGCCCTTTCATCAGCGAAGTAGTTGAACCCATTGATCCCTTTTTTCTTTTTATAGTACAAGTGGAGCTCAGACCAATCACTAGGTTACCCCTATGAACCCGAAGGAAACCATCTAAAATTAAAAAATATAAAAAAAATTTAAAAAAATTGCTAATAACGCAACTTTAAGTACTGATTTAAGAAAATGTTTGTCGCACGTAGCAAAGAAGATTTGCGCGAAAACGCAGGAGTTAATGCTCCAGAACAATGCAGAATTTGTTTCTTTGAGATGCTCGCTAACGAAAACCTAACGAAAACCCAGTGTAATCATCAATTTCATGAGAAATGTCTGCGCGTATTCTTAGAAACGAATAAAGAATGTCCCGTATGTAAACAATTGTGCCATCCGAGAGATTTCATTACGATGACTGGTGATATTGGAGGTCAACGTCCACAACCAGCAGGTGTTGTAGCTACCAAGGGGGCTACTCGAAAGCTCATTATACCCGTAGTCAACATACAAAGGGAAAAGAAGTGGTAGGGCTACCAACCGCCAGCAATGCTCCAGTCTTGAATACCACAGTTACTCATAGCCCAGCTAGAACAAGTAATGTAAATTCTTCACGAAAATGTCGGGGTGCAAGGAAGCAGACACAGGCAAGACCAGGCTTGGTAAACTCTTCTATGAGTTCCAATAGAACTCCGACCCAGAGCAATTTGGATTATGAGCAGATACTAGGTATGATGGAAAATTTAATTGATAGGAAGTTCGTATGTATCCGTATGTATCCGGAAACGGACAATTAGCGGATGAGAGGAATCAAAGTTCAATAGGAAGTTCACAATCTCCATTAGGTAGAGTCCAGTCTTCTACACGATCCCAATCGAATACAGGAGGAGGTCTGCTACCCGAGAAATCGGCTCGAATTGTCCAAAGCTGGAATGTGAAGTTTGATGGGTCAGAAAAAGGTCCCACAGTTCAAGAATTTCTATACCGACTCCGAGCACTGACCGCAGGTAGCTTGAGCAATGACTTCAGTTGTTTATGTAAGAATTTGCACATTGTATTATGTGGTAAAGTCACAGATTGGTATTGGCGCTATCGGAAAGATGTAGGTAGTGTAGAATGGGAAGAGTTTTGTGAAGCACTCAAGAGTCAATATCATGATCACAAGGATGATGACATAATTATGGAAGAAGTGCGGGCGAGAAAACAAAAGGAAGGCGAAACTTTTGATGCCTTTTACGACGACTTAGTGACTCTTGTGTCTCGACTGACTATTCCTCTGGATGAGTATAGATTAATACAGCAAGTTAAGAGAAATTTAGTGCCAGATTTGCGACAGGCACTATTGTATGTAACTGTATAATCGGTAGCGCATCTGAGGCAATTAGTGCACATGCGAGAGAATCTTTCGAAAGAGCAGGGTTTTCGAGGAAACAACGTTCAGAAACCATACAAGCGGACGATAGCAGGCGTAGAGGAAGCTGCATCGGAAACGGGAGATGACGCAACGGAAGACGAAGTCCATGCCGATAATTTTTCGTCAAAGAAGTTCACCTGTTGGAATTGCGATCAAGAAGGTCATGGGACTTGTGCTTGCAGCCCCGAAGCATTTTTTGCTATGGTTGTGGAGCTAAAAACGTCTATAAACCACAATGTTCGGTCTGCTTGAAAAAGTCGGAAAACTTCCAAAGGGACCACCCGCCGACAACAGTCGGGTGGCCCCAAAGTAAATGTTACCCAGACAAGTTCTCTGGCAACGCAGGCAGAGCGACAATTGTTACAGAACAATAAGTCGGAAAATACCCAGATTTACGAAAATCTCAAAAATAATAAGACCACACCGGTTTTAAGTCCATTTCGACCGTACCACGAGCGATATGAAAACTATCTAAGAGTACGAGATACTATTTTTATACCCGTACTCAAAAAAGAGTTAAGGGGTATATTAGATTTGTGGTAAAAGTGGATGTGTGCAACGCAGAGAAGGAAACGTTTCCGACCCCATAAAGTATATATATTCTTGATCAGCATCAATAGCCGAGTCTATATAGCCATGTCCGTCTGCCCGTCCGTCTGTCCGTCTGTCCGTCCGTCTGTCCGTCTTGATGAGCGCCTGGATCTCAGAGACTATAAGAGCTAGAGAAACCACATTTGGTTTCCAGACTCATGTGATATCACACTGCTACAAGTGTATTTCAAAGATTCGCCCCGCCCCCTTTCGCCCACACAAAGGACGAAAATCTGTGGCAGGCACAGTTTTAAAGATACGATAAAACTAAAAACGCAGTATCGTAGAAAATGCCAATATCTACCAGATTGCCGAATCTGAATCAGATCGGATCATAATTATAGCCAGAATGAAGAAATTAATTTTCAGTTGCTTCCCCTCCCCCACCCGCCATCGACAACGCATCTCATTTTCCTTCTCGCTCGCACATTCTGCCGCGTTCAGTGCGCGAGCAACCCCTAGCGGAGGAGATGTAGAATCTAATTGGAACATGTAAAATCTACATGTTAGATGTATAATATACATTGTATATGTAGATGTAGATATCATAGATATCATGTAGCAAAAAAATGTAAAATGTAAAAATTTTTTTTTTTCTAAAATTCTTAAAAATCATAAGCTCAAAAATGTATATACTGACTGAGTACGGGTAGAAGTAGAGTCGCGTCCCCAGAAGCGACTCACACGTTCCTTCTCGTTAATAATACAGTAGCGTCGTTACAGTGCAAGGCGAAAAGATCGACTTTACGAATGCGGAATTTTTGGAAAAATATACGTAATACGAGAAAACTGCTAGTAGCTTCCGTGGTGAATGATCAGGTAGATGGTAGATTTTATGCCTCAATTAAGTTTGAACAATTCTCCGAAATGGGGTTACTAGACACCGGAGCAAATATTAGTTGTTTAGGAGCAAGTTTAGCTAATCAGAATTGGACTGAACATAAGAAATTCAAAAACGTATCTTCCGGAGTTAAGACAGCAGATGGCAAAAGTCATGAGGTCATAGGTTCCGTGCGAATGAATGTGGAGTACAATGGAGAAAAGCATCAAATTCTCTTTTTCATTATTCCTTCGTTAGACAAGCGAGTTATCCTTGGCATAGCTTTTTGGAAGGTATTTCATTTAGCACCAGGATTAATAAACAGTCTCGACGGCACCCCGGACAGAGAAATCAGTGAAGAACCAGATGAGAAAAAGTATCCGTTGACGGGAGAATAGAAGAAACGGTTAGAAGTAGTAATGGATTTGTTTCCGAATTTTGCACGTCAAGGATTAGGAAGGACGCCTTGGATCAAACATGAGATAGATATTGGAATAGCAAGGGCTGTGAAACAACGTTTTTATCCAGTTTCGCCAGCCGTGGAAAAGCTTATGTTTAAAGAAATTGATAGAATGTTGGACTTAGGAGTAATAGAGACGTCAACCAGTGCTTGGAGCTCACCGATGCGATTAGTGATAAAACCGGGTAAGGTACGTTTATGCCTAGATGCCAGGAAAATAAATG